ACACACAGTGACACATGCATTAAAGCAACAAACAGGAACCAGGCGCAAAGTGTACACATCACATGACCCATTCATCTGAATTCTAGCTGGTCAGCTACATGGGAGCCCAAGGCAGGAGGATCCTTTGACCTTGGGAGTTCAAGAACAGCTGGGGCAACATAGTGAGACCTCAATTCAAATAAAAACCAACCAAAAAAAAAATCTGAATTCTAAAGCCCCATACAGGAGCTATGGTGCTAGATGTCAGAGGTAAGGACGACAAGAAGGATACTTCCTGGGGTGACAGGTGCTTTTGCCTTGATTTTGGGGCATTCAGGTGAAAATTCATCAGGCTCCATACTTACAATCAGTGCATTTTCTGGCCTATAAATTTCATCCCCACTGTAGTTTGGTGGCAGCTTGCTGCTTTGGCAGGTGGTGGACCTGTAAGAGGCGGGACCTTGTGGAGGGTCTTCTGGCCTTGGAAGGGGTGGGAGGCCCAGTCCAGCCCCTCCTTCTTCCTCCTTTGCTCCTGACTGTGAGTGAGGTTTTTGCTTAGAAGCAGTGTTCCAAGCTGAGGTGAAATAAACCTTTTCTCTTTAGAAGTACTCATTGCTCTGGGATATTTGTTACAGTAATGGAAATCTGACTAATACACACATACACCAAAGAAACAGCAGCACAGAGAGAACTGGGGGCTGCAACCAGGTTATAGTGTAGTAGGTGGCAGGTGAGGGACAGATACTAAATCCCCTTGAGCACCTGGCCTGGGCAACCTGGGGTGCCAGCCACCTCCTGCTCTTTCCCATGGCCCCTGAGCCAGGTGGAGGGGCATGGCTGGGGCAAGCAGATGCCTGCTGCCATCGCAGCAGGTGGTCCAAGGACGCTGTTATTTGCTTTGGGGAATGGGTCTGTTTGCGTAGTGGGAGAGGGGCCGGCGGGGGCATCAGGGACCAGATTCTGATTATAACTTCATCACGGGCTCTGGCTATTCAGGAGGTGCTGATATTTATGGAATAAATACGGTGCGATTTATGGCCGTATCTCCCTCTGATGTCCCATCTGATATGCAATTCAATTTCTTTTATTGTTTTTGGGCTTTTGCCACCGAGGAGAACGCATAAATAAATAAATATATGGGCGAATGGCAGCCAGCAGGCCAGGCCGGGGCTGCCAGCCCAGCGTCTCCAATCCCATATTAGGCCCATCGATCACAGGTTATGAAGCTGGAGCTCATCCTCCGGCTGGGACGGCAGCAGACGCGCCGGTCACTCCCGTTATTTAGGAGCCTCTGTTGGCAGGCTGCCCTGCCTGTCCTCTGCCTGCCACCGGCCGCGGCGTCCCTCCTTGGGGCTGGCTGAGCCTGCTGTGCTCTGGCACTCACTGGCACCACCCCGAGGCCAGGAGGGGGTGTCCCGGCTCCCACGCACACGTGACATCTGCTACCCCCCCCACCATCTCGTGGGCACAAGTTCCTGCTCCCATGCCAAGTCACCTGGGGGTCAAAGCGCATCGGCCAAGCCAACCACCCATACCTGGTGAGTCCCCTGTCCCTGTGCCTCCTGTCCCCCCGTGTGACGGGTGGCAGCCTTCTCCGCAGCCCCTGGAAGTGCCAGGGGTCCCTGCATGTGGTGGGCACAGGCTGGGCAATAGTCCACACGGACACAGATGCAGGGAGCCGTGGGAAGTGGCAGCCGTGTCCCTGCCCTCAGTGACGTGCCCTCCGGGAGTGACAAGAGGCTTTCACTGGTCCCCAGGACTGTGCCCTGCGCGGACCCAGGGAGAGAGCCTGGGGGGCTTCTGTGGCCCCATCTCACAGGGACCCCTGGTCCCTGAGCCTCCGCGGGCAGTTTTGTGTCCACCCAGCCTCTGCCACACACAGCTGCACCCTCCACATGCACCCAGGTGTGCACTCAGACACACACACACTACTGCGTACACGCCACACACGTATCTCCTGCACCATATGCATGCACACACACCACGCCCATGCACATGCAAGCACGCGCCCGAATTCCCATTCTCTCCCCTGCCCCAGGCCCACGATGCCAACTCTCACGCACCTTTAGAAAAGTGATTTGTGAAGTGTCCCCACTGCCACGAAGTGCCCTGCTGGGGTGTGGGGACACACAGAAAAACGGGGAGAAGGCTGGCCGAAGCTGAGGCCCCTCTGGGCAGCGGACAGGGTGGCCGGGCACGAGGAACACCACGCGTGTGCGCACAGCTCCCTGGCACCAGCTGCATCGTCACCAGACCTGAGGCTGGGGACTTCCCAAGCGACCCATCCAGGGACACAGGAGAGGCGGGGACGCAGGGCCAGGCAGCTGCTGAGGTAGAGCCTGAGCTCACTGCCGGCCTGATCCCTCCAGTCACAAACCCGGGGCCAGCCACTTGGCACCCTCGTTTCCCCAGCGCCAGCCAGGGACAATGTCCCGTCCCTATGACATCATCGGGGACGCGCTGGATGGGTCTGCGTGCACCGGAGGTGGGCGCGGGCCTCTAAGTCCACACGGCCAAGGAGAGGGTGTCCTCTAAGCTGTCTCCCCGCTCCCTTCAGTCACTGTGCCGTGCCCCACCCCCGGGCGCCCGGGGGCCTCCCCAGGCCAGGCAGAGACCGGCAGCCCCGAGTTCCATTTCCCAAGCTCCCGGCCTTGGCCTTCCACAGGGGCCCCAGCAGGCCGCGTAAATTCCCGCACAGAGCCCCATTAGCAGAGCAAGGGAATGCTAATGGGCTCCCTGAGGTCCCCGGCCGAAAATCCGCCTCTGCCTGACATTTGGAAAGTTCAGGCTCTCAAAATAAAGCCGCGTGCGGGTGGGAGAGTCGCTCTAGATCGCTTCCCTGCCCTTGGCCTGCGCTTCCCCACAGAGCCAGCAATCTTCTCTTCCGCCTTGCGCACGCCACTTGGTGCTGTGCTCCCTCGTCCCACACCAGTTATTGAGCACCTACTGTTTACCACTCCCAGGATGTAAGGCAGGGACACCAGGAAACACCAGACTCTCCTCCTCCGGAACTGCCAGTCTGGCGGGAAAGAGGGACATGGAATAACCCTTTGATGAGGACTATTAGCTGTGCCATACAGGAGTGGCACAGACAGTGGGGGGCCAGGGAGAGCTTCCCAGAGGAAGTGACAATACTCAGAGTTAGAATCACCCCGATGAGAAGCAGCAGAAGGGTCGGCAGGTGCAAAGGTCCTGGGGCATGAGAGAGCCAGTTATGCCTGGGGGTCTGGAGGAGGCCAGGGAGGCAGGTGTCCTGGAGTCCAGCTCAGGAGCTGGGCCCAAGAGCTCACAGTTCCCAAAGGGCAATCAACAGCTGTGCCAGGCCCCGGGCACAGAATGGGGTCCCTCTGAGTCCTGGGGTCCCCGCTCAGTCCCAAGGTATGCACAGCTCTCTGAATCCCTAATCTTCTCCAGTTGCTACTTTTCTCTCTCCCTGTCTCTCTCCCTGTCTCTCTCTCTCTCTCTCTCTCTCTCTCTCTCTGTCTCACACACACACATACACACACACACACACAGAGTTCTGCTGGTGACTTATAATTGCTGTTTTCTTGTCCTCAGCAAAAAGAGCTCAGAAGCGCAGTTATTGTTTGAGGACAGCTTCCCCGTGGCGAGGACCAGCGCCTGGCAGCGGTCAGCTCACTGACGGCTCCGCCCTCGCGGCGCACGTCTGACGGCCCAGACAGAGGGCGGACAGACATCCAGGAAGAATAAGAAGTCGGTGCCGTGGGGGCTGGGGAAGAATCGGGCTGGGCGGGGGTCGTAGGACACAGGGGGCCCCGTGAGGCAGGGAACCAGGGAGCCATGGGATGGGGCAGGGGGCACAGGTGGCAGCAGAAGGGGCTCGGGGTCGGGGCACCTCTGCACTGGGGAGAGGAGACCAGGGCGGCTGAGCCAGCAGAGGCCCAGGGAGGGGTGACAGGTATGGTCAGAGAAGTGGGGACAAAGGTGACCAGGTCACGCCTCTGGCCTAGACAGCCCGGGCCACAGCCATTGTCCTGCCTCAGCCTCTCTGCACCAGAGAGGCAAGGAAGGAAAGAAGGAAGCTGTGTGCTTAGTTCCCACGGTGGGGCTCCCTGGCCTGGGCCTGCTGCAGAGTGCACGTGGGGCGGTGGCCACACGGGTAGTATCTGGCCCGGGGGGTGGTGTCCGTGTGGCACTTTCTGGGGGACCTGAGGAAGTGGGGGCAGAGACTAGGGGCAGAGAAGGAGTGGTCGGATCCTTGGAGAGGTCTGGGGACAAACCGCTGCTCCAGCCAGGCTGAGGCCAGCCCTCAGCACCCCTTTGTCATGTGCCATCCGGGTCAGCGTTCCGGGCCCAGAGAGGGGAGGGACTCGCCCGGGACACACAGCCTGGGCGGCCCGGCCTGAAGTCCCCTCTGCCCACTTCCTGGGGTGGGCTCAGAGCACACAGCTTTCACACTTAAAATTGACCTCCTCTTCCACCTGTGCCCGGCTCAGGATGGTGCCACATGCGGGCAGCTGCACGAGACAGAGACGCCGCTGCCTCGGTTTCCTCTCCATGCCCCCGCCTGCCCGCTATCTCCTTCCCTAACACACCACTGTTCCCGGAGTCTGCAGCCCTGCCTGCTGTCCCCTGGGCTCCCCGAGCACCTGGGAGGTCAGGCTTTCCAGCGGGGCGTGGGGGCCCGGTCCTACCGCGCTTTGGCCGGCTTCCGCCCACGCATGCCTCGCCCTTGCCGCAAATCCCCCTCACCCACATCAGCTCCCACTCCTCACTCTCGCCTGTGCGCCCTTCCCACGTGGTCCCCCGCCTGGAATGCTCTTCCCACCCCCAAGCCACCTCACCCAGGAAGTCTTCCCGATGTCTGCAGACTGGGCCAGGCGCCTCCTCCTCACTCACACAGCCTGGAACTGTGGGTCACTCTGTGTTAGAGTGACCAGTTTGGCCCTGACCCCCAAGCATCCATCATTCTGTCCCCTGCACTCAGCCACCAGCCAAACCCTAGCATTGGTGCTTGGGAAACGTCAGAGAAGTGGATGGATGGATGGACGGACGGACAGATGGACAGACTTGGAGGCCTCCCTAGCAGCCGCTGTGGCCCTGCACACCAGCAGGACCTGTTTTCCCCGTTTGCACCCCTCAGCTCCGAGGGCTACCCAGAGCTCCTCAGCTTGGGTGAGATGATGGCTGGTCCGGGTGGTGACACGTCTGCCAGCCAGCAGTGCCCCCAGCCTGTCTGAACTTGTTACCTCCACGGAAGGAGATGCTCAGTGAGCACGACAGCTTAAATTCCCCTGTCCGCTCTCATCAGCAGAGCCCTCCTGTCCCCCTGCCTCGGTCCTCGTCCTGCACGTCTCTGAGGAGATGGCGCCTCCTCCAGGAAGCCTCCCTGACTGCCCCGCCTCCTGGAGCTCATCTGGCCTCTTCACTGCTTCCAGTGTGGCTGTCACTGGGATTAGCCAGCCCCAGCCCCTCTGTTTCCTGGATCACTGTGTGTCTCACCAAGTCATGGGAGGTTACGGATTGTCCATTCCCTGCAACATGGTGGCCCCAGTGCTCACAGAAGGCCTCCCCTACAAGGTGGGTGGATGGATGGATGGATGGATGGATGGATGGATGGATGGGTGGGTGGATGGATGGATGGATGAGTGGATGGATGAGTGGGTGGGCGGGTGGATGGATGGATGGATGAGTGGATGGATGAGTGGGTGGGTGGATGGACAGATGAACAGGTGAGTGGATGGATGGGTGGTTGGACAGATGGATGGATGGACAAATGAACAGGTGAGTGGATGGATGGGTGGTTGGACAGATGGATGGATGGACAAATGGTTGGGTGAGTGGATGGATGGGTGTGTGGATGGATGGGTGGATGGATGGATGGATGGATGGATGGACAGATGGACGGATAGACAAATGGATGGGTGAGTGGATGGATGGGTGGGTGGATGGATGGACAAGTGAAGGAGAAAAGCTCACTGTCTCAGGAGCCAGCAAGGTGTGGGTCTCTCCCTGTTGCTGGCAAGCAGGGTGGTCTTGGGCAGGATCTCTGCACTCCCAGGACAGACTCCAGCTTGCTCTTTGTGCCCCTGAAACTGTCTGAGAGTGGGTGGCTTCTCCCCAGCTGCCAGAGGGGGAGACTGACGCCCTGGCATGTGGACAGAGAGCACAGGCTTACAGAGCCTTGTGGTCGAACAGGGCATCATCGGAAACCACCTAGGCTAACGCTCTTTCTGGGCAGGAGATGGGGGAAACTGAGGAACTGCTCTACCCGGGAAATCTTGGTGCATCTGGGCCCAGCCCAGGGCTTCTCTCCCGGCCTCAGGGCAGCACCCAGGCCGGGGCAAGGAGCAGCTCTCCCAGCCCTGGTGGCTGGCTCTGGGCTCCAGCGGGCTGCAAGCTGTCGGGAGGGATCAGCAGGCCCTGGCGATCTCCCCAGATTTAATTAACGGGCCTTTCATCTCTGTCCTGGAGGAATCAGCTATCTTCTGTCTCCTTAATTAACGTTCATTAAGCAAATCAGAACAACGGGCTGTTCGCCCTCCTCCTCCCCCGCCCCGGAAGGTATTAACCCTTGCTGGGTGGCTTCAGGAGGCCAGCTTGCTACCTTTGCGGGCTGCCCACGGACAAAGGGGGCACCCGACAGCGCCCCTGCAGCCCGGGCTCTGCCTGCTTTTTCTGTCCCCTCCTCCCTCCAGCCACTGCACCAAGGGGGTCCCAGACTGAGAGCTCCCAGGGCAGGGCACGGGAGCCCCAGCTGGGGACCAAGGCCATCGAGCCGTGTGCCTCCCAACATGGGGAGCAGCCCGAGCGCAGCCCTTGACCGGGCACACGTGGACGCCGTGCGGCCGTGGCTGCCACACTGCAGGGGGCACACAGGGACAGCCCCCCCGCTGGGGAGAGGGGGCACTGGAGGTCTGGGGTGAGGCCTCGAGCTCCAGGCTGCAGGGAAGCTGAGGCTATGCGGCCAGTGGCTTCTGCGGGTTTCAGTCACACGTGTGTGGGGGGGCCTCGCTTTGGGGGACAGATGCCTGGCTGCGATGGAAGGTCCTACCAGGAGGTGACTCTCAGAGCCTTCCCGTGGTGTTGGGGGGGCCTCATCTTATTGTCCAGCTCCTACACACAGGCTTCCTCAGCTGTCGCTCCTTCTGGGTCCTTCCCAGACAACACAGCCGTGCTTACTGTCCCAGGGCTGGGGGGTCACACAGACCCTGAGGCGCACAGACACCCCGAGGCCTAGCCTAGCACACTTTGGTTCCCAAGTCCTGTGGACCTCAGCCTTTCCCTAAGCCCATCCTAGGGGGAGTCAACCCCAGCGACGGAAAGGACTGGGTCACATCCTGCTGGGAATGTGCCCAAGCTCCAGGCCTCAGTTTACCCATGTGCACAGTGCAGCCTGGATGCGCATACATGTGTACACACACATGCACGCACGCACATGTACGCACATACACACACACACTCACGGCAGGGCTGCCAGAGCCCTGCCCCTGGCCTCAGAGCTGGTGGCTACTGCCGCAGCTGCTCAGCGACAGCCCGAAGCGTCCTTGGCCACCAGGGGGCAGGAGAGGCCAGCTCCGTCCTGCAGCTAATGTCGCCTTCAGTGGCTGGTGACTGGTGACCTGAATGCCAGCTGGAGAAGCCCAGAGTGGGGAGGTGAGGGCGCTGGCTGCCGGCCCAGGCAGGACGCCCCTGGGGGCAGCTGAGCAAAGCGGCCTCCCCAGCAGGCGCCTGGAGGAAGCCGTGATCTGCGCCTTCTCACTGAGCTGCGCGCCGGCCCTTTTTAACTTTATTCGGAGCCCGGGCTTAGGAGCAGGTAGGCGCCACCTCGGGACATCCCCGGGCTGTTTCCCTCCCTGTGCAAAGTGCACGCTGCTCTGTGGCAGCTGCGGCAGGGGCTGGTCTTCCCCGCACAGCAAGGACGGCGCAGGGTGTTAGGGGTCAGGGAAAGGGGACAGGAGGAGCTGCCGGCTAGGACCCTCCAGGGCAGCAGCCACCTCCTCAGGCACTGCCACCTCTCTGGCCCTGAGATCTCTGGGACTGCCACTCACAGCCAGAAATACATAGAGAAACCACTGCCATGGCTGCTGTTGGTGCCACCGTCCGAGGGTCTGGCAGCACACGCTGAAGACCAGGGAGTGTGGGGAAGGCCCCACCAGAGGGATAGAGGATGGCCTCTGTGTCCCCACTCCTAACACTCTGGTGAGGATGTCTCAGTGCCAGGACCCAGCCACATCCGGATCCACCATGCAAAGGCCTCTGGGAGGAGCCACTCTCAGCAGCAGCCTGTGTAGCCAGTAAGCACCCAGGGTGCTGGGGCAGAGGCTGAGGGGCCCCCAGGGTCCCACGGGTGGGAGAGGCAGGATCCGGGCCCAGGTCTGCCCGACTCCAAATGCCTTGTGGCTAATGGCTGCTGAGTCATGAACACGGGCCCTCTCTCCGGCTCACACCAGGGAATCGATAAAAGCCTCGTCGACTGAACCAGAAGCTGAACAATTAATTTGTTCAAGCAGAGCCCCTGATTGAGAGTTATTAGGGGGGCCAGGTATGGGGAGGTCTGCTGTGCCCTGAAGCCAGACAGGGATCGCCTTCGAGGGTGCCAGCCTCGCCCGAGGTCTCTGCAGCCTTCGAGCAGCGTGTGGATAGGCATCAGGCTCTAGATGAGAGCAGGGCCTTTCTGCAGCACACAGGGAATGCGGAGACCCACAGTTCCCACGAGCCTCTGTCCAGATGTCCCCCAAGCCCCAGGGCCCCCTCCCCCCACTGGGACTCTGGGTGTGGTTAGGCCTCGTTCTGAGGACGAGCGGGCCATCCTCTCTGGAACCCGGCGCATCCTCCGATCAGATCCCGCATCTGGTTGTCAGTCCCTGTTGTTGCAAGGCATCCTGGGATTCGAATTGTGCTTTGGGTTGGTGACAGATCCCTAGAGCTGATCACTTCTTTCTCTTTAAATTATCAGTGATGCCAAGAGCCAGCGAATTCCGCTGTCCCCGTGATCACCGTTCCCTGCTCAGTGACCTCCTGCCACCTGCACTCTGCCAGGTTCCCTGCAGGTAAGGGCTCATTAATGGAGCCGTCCTACATGCTGGGGACAGTCACGTCTCCACCTCGTGCCAGTGATACCAGCCACTGTTAGCATGGACTTTGTAGTGGATTGATGACTGGTGGTCAACTTATAACCCCCAGCTGAACTGAGTATGTGTGGGGCTGGGTGTGGAAGGCCCACCCGGGGACTGTTGCCCGCAGCATAAGAGGCAGAACTGGAGAAGGAGAAGGAAGCTGTTGGGAACTGAGCGAGGCTGCTGGGAGCGGGGAAAGGCTGTTGGAGCTGGCGGAAGCTGTAAGGAGCTGTTGATCCTTTTGGAGGAGCTCGTCGTGCTGGCTTTCCTGATGAACTTGGCTGTTTTCATCCTCCAAGGAGCTTGGGACCCTGTTGGCACTGAGAATAGCTTTGGTTCACTTTTGGGGAGCTCTGGTCCGCACTTTGAGCTTCGCTTCCTGGCTCCAGAGGGGAAGAAGGTGCACAGCTCAGGCTCTGGAAGAAGCTTGCTGCATTGGCTTCCCTGATGGGAACTCAGCCATCTTGATCATCAGAGGAGCTCAGGACCTCACTGTTGCTGAAGATGGCTGTGGTACCTTTTTGGGGAGCTCCAGTTCTTCTGAGCATCACTTCCTGGCTCCAGCCCCCAGCCTACTAGCACAGATGCTTCATCCCGCTGGCACAGACTTCCTAGATTCCACCACTGACCTTTGGTCCTTCCCAGCACAGATCCGTGAAACAGGCCTGCATGAGACATTGTTATGGGCTCTGGGCCTCCAGTTGGATTCTTGGGAGGCATTGTTATGAGCTCTAGGCCTTCAGCTGGACTCACATAGGACACTGTCATGGGATCCAGGTCCTCAGCTGGATTCCTTGGTCTTAGGGTGTGGACAGATTTCCTGCACTTTTTTGTATATCATTCTTTGGGTGACTATTATAAATAATCTTATAAAATATGTGTCCTGTATTATATTGTTCACCTTGCACAATAAGCTCTAAGACCTTTTCTGATTTTACTGGGTCCCAGGCGTTTTTCTCTCTATTAATAATAAATAGTAAAACTTAAGTTTTACTGGGGAAAGAAGGTGTTTTGGTTACTTTTCTGTTGTTACTGAGACAAAATACCTGAGGCCCAAAATTAAGGATGGAAAGGTTTATTTAGCTCACAGTTTGTAGAGGTTTCAGTCCATATTCGCTGGCTCCAAGGCAGAGTGGCACACACAGAGGGCAACAGTTCGTGGCAGCAGAAAACAGCAAAAGCAGCAAGAGCACAAGGGGAGAAGCTGTGGCAAGCACCCTCTTTCCCTCCTTTACACTGTATGCAAACTACCTGCCCAGGGCAGGTGTAGCACTCACACCCATAATTCCAGCATTGGACCACGGATCAATCAAAAATCTAGAAGCCCATCCCATGACGGCATGAGGATTTGGGGGGACATGCAGACAAAAACCATAACAGAAGGGTATGGAGAACTGTTGTTTAATGGGTATGGAGTTTTAGCTTTGCAAGATCAAAAGCTTCTGGAGAAAGACGGTGGTGATGGCTGGACATCCACGCGAGAGTACTTAGCACTACGGTACTGAGACTTAAGAATGGCCTGGATTGTCAGTTTATGTTGTGTGTCTTTCACCATAATTAAGAATTTTTTTAAATTGTGTTTGACAACTGCATTGATATAAAAACAAACATATTGATATATGTTAGAACATCTATCTACCTGAAAGTTCACTTTTTCTCTTTTGACTTCAAAAATAAATTGGAGCTCGGTGTGGTGGCCCATACCTACAACCCCAGCATTCAGGAGGAGCGCCACGAGTTCGAGACCAGCCTGGGCTGCATAGTGAGTTCAAGGCCAGCCTGGCTACATAGCAAGACTGTTTCCAAAAAACCAAAATAAAATAAAATAGGACATTTTGTGGGCATCTAAAGGTACTTCGGGCCGCTGCGTCTCCTACGGTTAGTGGATGAATTGGCTTTGGAAGGAAGCAGGACCCAGGCAAGCGTATCTGGGCGGGCGCTGACAGTTGATAGCGTCATGTTCTTGACCGAAAAAGAAAACTTTACTGAAGAAGCCTTCATAACACCAGCACAACATAACCTGGAGTTACATTAAATTAATATTTTAACTTGGAGGGCTGGGGATATAGCTCAGCGGCACAAGCACCTGCTTGGCAAGCACAAGGTTCTGAGTTTGATTCCTAATACACATAGATACACTTTTTAAACTAGGAAATCATTTATAGATTTAAATCTTTGTGACCCCATTAGTGCAGATGCTGGTCTCTTTCTTGAGTGTTCTGTCTGTTAATAAAGTTTTATAATTTCCTTCATTTATATCTTGCACATTTCATACTAAATTTATTATCAGGTGTTCTATCACTCGTGTCATTGTCATGAACGGCGTCCTTTACTACATTTTCTAATTTGGTGCTGGTACTGGTTTTTGTACTTTATCCTGTGTTCAGTCACTTTATTAAGTATAACCCTTCAATGGAATCTCTCAGATTGTCTAGATGTGTCTTCAGAGAAACAAAAGGTAAAGTCTTTATGTTATTTAATTTTTCTTGTCTTACTGCATTAGTTAGACTTCCCAGAATAACATCAAATATCGGCAGTGGTTTCATATACTAACCCTATCTGATCCTACTGGTGTGCTCTCTTATCAATTCCATGAATCTATTCTGTGGCCTTTCCTAGAACCTCACTGATTTAATTACACTTAAATGGCTGCTCGTTAACTACTTCACTACAATTAATAGCCTTTCTCAAAATTTTCCTGAATATCATCCCCCCGGCCCAATGTGTACCTAATCTCAGTGGAGAGGCTGTTAGAATTTCACTGCTTACTAGAATGCTTGCTGAAAAAAGTAGTCCTTGGCACATTTAGGCCAGTATACGCCATGCGATCAAAATAATGGTGAATGTTTAAAAGTTTGTTTTGTTTTTTTTTTTTTGGTTTTGGTTTTTCTCCAGTACTGGGAACCGAACTCACGACCTTGCGCTTGCCAGGCAGGCGCTTTGCCGGTGAGCTAAACCCCCAGCCCCATGTTTTTAAAAGTTTTTACAGTAAAAGGCACATTGCCCCCTCACAATCCTCCCCCTCACTTTGAGCTCAGGTTATCCCACCATTCTTGTCACTTTCTAAAGCCGTTCTGGAAGTCCTCTTTTGCGTCTGTAGTTCTGCTGTCCTGGCCGCCTTGGTATCCTGAATGGGTTCAAAATGTCTCCCTTTCATGGTCATTTTGACTGGGGAGAAGCCGGAAGTCACTCGGTGCCAGGTCTGATGCATTCATTCATTCATTCATTTAAGACAAGGCCTGGACACGTAATTCAGCCCACCTTGAACTCACTATGTGGTGCAGGTTGGTCTGAACTCTTCAGAACCTCATGCCTCAGCCTCCCGAGTGCTGGGATTACAGGAATGCACCACCACACCTAGTGAATTCACCGTATTTTTTAATTATACCTTGTAAAGACACTCGTGAAAGAGGATGTCCAGAACTGCTTCAGAACTAGCAAGGACGATGGGACAAGTGTGTTTGAAGAAAGCGGGGTTAAGGCCAGTATGTCTTTTACTGTAATAAGATTGTTTTAATTGTTAAATTTAAATATTTGCTGTGTTTTCATCATATCTTGTATTTCTATTTTTCCCTAGAATTTTCCTGGGAATGTAATCAAATGTCTTATTTATTTATTTATTTATTTACTTTATTTATTTATTATCT